CTTCGGATCCTGGATCCTTTAGGCTCTCCACGATTCGTAGACCTAGTGGGCTCAACTGAGGCCGATACCTCTCGTTTCTCGCGTAGAGAGTCAGTTGCTGAGTGAAATCCTCAGGTCTCTCTTTGATCAGTTTCACCACAGGGACAGCCTCAATCATTAGGACGTCATTGTCCTCATCTATCTTATGCCCCTCTTCTGCTGCCTTCTCCAATGCTGCCATCCGTATCCTCATTGTTTCTTGGTTCTTTAGCAGGACCAAAAATGCCTCCTGTTATCTCTTCATCCATCCAACCGATGAATCTATGATCTGTTTCCAGAACACCTTTTGTGTCTTCCGGTTCCAATTATGTAACTCCCCTTTAGCCCTTGTGATCTCCTGCATCACTTCCCGTAGGATATAGGGCTCGACGAAATCATGCGTAAATTTCGCGATGGTCAATTCCTCGGCTTCGGAGTTGTCCTTGAGGACACCTTGTGCGAAGGGGATGTCATTGGTAAACGACAGTGCGGCGATGCCCGGGTCCGGTAGGACCAGATCTCGACACTCATTGGGGAGTTCGATGGGAGCAGCCTCGATCAGCAGGTTAGCTGCTTCCCCGAGTCCTCGTGTGTCTGTGATGATAGAGGCCCTAAAAATGGCAGCCTCTAATGGATTCTCATTGAGATCCAGGCTGCTGTCAGAACTCGACTTTTCTGCTTCGACCGTCGGGGCCAATGCTTGTGTGGCCATCATGGTCCTTCAATGTCGGTTCCAAACCAAAACAAAATCAGGAGGAGAGTTAAGCGAGAAGCTCGCTTAACGATATACTGTAACGGGGGCTCCCTCAGGAAGATGGATCCCAAGGATGCGACCGCACCAAACTTCGAATCTCTCGAACAAAAGCTCTTGCAAAATTGTAAAGAATAAAAGTAACGGTAAAACTTAATATCGTTAAGCTTTGGCTTATCTCAATTAAAGTCTCTCGAGAGGATGTTGATTGTGTCGGGGCAGGAGAGTTCTCGTATAAGCTTCCAGTAGTCAGACTTATACCAAAAACTCCCCCATCAGGTTGCCCCGACCAACATGAGCATGCCCTTCTCCGTAAGGGTTGCTAGCACCATTACCGCATCCCCGAAGGGCTTAGGTGTCAGCGCACTCTAGCAGAAATCTCCCATATGCACGTCAGTTCCTGCGAGGTGTTTACCAATACACCTGCCGGAGCAAAAAA